TAAACTTATATTAAAGTTTTTCTTCACTACCCATTCAAGCCGTCTTCAGCAATTATTACATAATATTTACCTAATTTTGAAAATTATCTGTTAATTTTTATATACATACCAATTAAAATATCTAAAAATATATTTTACACCTGAAATTGTTCATTGGATATTTTAACAGGCTATATTGCCACCTAATGTACCTGTTTGACAGGTTATGCTACCACTTAATGTACTTGTTTGACAGGTTATGTTTCCATCTAATGCACTTGTTTGACAGGTTATGTTACGACTTAATATACTTGTTTGACAAGTTATGTTACCACCTAATGTACCTGTTTGACAGGTTATGTTACCGTTTAATGTACCTGTTTGACAGGTTATGTTACCGTTTAATGTACCTGTTTGACAAGTAATGTTACCACCTAATTTACCTGTTTGACAAGTTATGTTACCATTTAATGTACCTGTTTGACAGATTATGTTACCACCTAATTTACCTGTTTGACAAGTTATGTTACCACCTAATTTACTTGTTTGACAAGTTATGTTACCATTTAATTTACCTGTTTGACAAGTTATGTTACCATTTAATGTACCTGTTTGACAAGTTATGTTACCACCTAATGTAACTGTTTGACAAGTTATGTTACCACCTAATTTACCTGTTTGACAGATTATGTTACCACCTAATTTACCTGTTTGACAAGTTATGTTACCACCTAATGTGTTTGCTTGAAACTTTTCACTTGAATATTCTAAACATCTTTACATTGATCGAACTTTAAACATGTCTCGTATTTCGATTTTTTCTTTTGTCATCTAGAAAGTTACAAAATATATTTAAAAAAGATGTGTAAGAGAGACAGAGAAAATAAGGTTAACGTTTTAACTAAAGAAGAATGGTATTATAGCTATAGTTTGTCAGCCTGCTTAGGTTATTGGTTGTCTACCAGCCACAAAATTGAACGCCTACTGTTTACAATACTGTATTCTTTTTTCATCTTCTTTGTACTGATGAATGTCACTTAGTCGAAACTTTGATCAGATGTTCTCTCACTCATAAAGTTTTTTAAGAGATTTTTTCTGACGCTGCAACCACATTATATGTTTAGTACCTTTGCTGTTGCCTCCAGCAATAAGACTGAGGGCTTATAACGCTAAAAATCGGGTTTCGATCATCGTGGCGAGCACAACTCAAATAATCCCATGTACAAATATGTGCTTAATGAAAATAAACAAACAATAAACAGAGTTTTGCTATTTTTCAGTATGGATAATCTATAACTCGGATAAGTCGCTTCTGTGTTAACAGGTTTTACAAAGGTTAGTAACTTCTTTTAAAAGTATTCAAACAGCCCTAAAAATAATAAGAAAGCGTCACTCGCTGAAGTTTCCACATACTATTAGTTTTTTCCTGTATTGTTATTTGTACTGATTAAAAAAATCACGTTTTACTAACCTAAGCCGAGTGAATGTCTTAAAACGCGGCATTGAGTTATTTAAATAAATTTACGGTTATAATTACCATTGTTGGTATTTATTTTAATTTCAAACCAATTTCAAGAAGAAATAACGAGAAATTTAGGCCTAATGTTATTTCGTCAAGTAAAGTTTACAGAAGCTTACATCGCCAAGGGTTTAAGTGCAAAGCGTTAGGTGGTAAAACGTAACTGTGTATGCGCTAATACTCTTGGTTGCAAGTTATGGGCTATCAACTGAAAGAGTGGACATTAGAAATAACATCACATTAAAATATTTAAAATTATTATACATTAAAAAAAATCACTGATATCTAATGTAAAATAATAACAGAATAGCAGATACTATAAAGAATGAAGCTCATTTACCAGCAAAATATTAATGTAAAAAATATATATTTTTTATGCCAGCAGATGGCGTTTGGTAGTAAATAGGACGAATTTCAAGTTAGTACAGTAGTCATTATGAACACACACAAAGACTCTTGAATTCTATTTACATGCACATTAATTAGATTTATTTAAAGTGTGTACATGTTAAATAAATGTACACAGGTATGAACGTTTTCTATTCTAAAGAGAAATTTAGAGAAACAGTTGTGTAACTTCGTGTCACAGAAAGGACAAAGATATCATTTTAGATTGATGATTTCATCTTCTCCCGCTTTTCAGCATCCGGTCTCTGAAGGACGATAGGTTAGGCCATCTGCCCTTATAGTGAAGGATGTAATCAGGTAGATCCACTCCCATAGCAGCTGAAAAAAAAAGTGACAATTCATTTAGAGTTAAAACTGTTGATGTATCTCTTCAAACGATTCCATATTCTGACATTTATATTAATAGCGTTGGCAGACTTCTCTGGAAAAAAATCATAGTAATAGCTTTGTAAGTCAACAATAACGAAAGAAGCTTCATGGATACAGCAACGGTTTCATTAAACAGTGCTATAATGAGAAAGTTTATCCAAAATGCCGGTTTCATTTAACAGCGTTATAATGATAAAGTTTATCCAAAGTGCCGGTTTCATTTAACAGCGTTATAATGATAAAGTTTATCCAAAGTGCCGGTTTCATTAAACAGCACTATAATGAGAAAGTTTATCCAAAGTGCCGGTTTCACTTAACAGCATTATAATGAGAAAGTGTATTCTGAGTTCCGGTTTCACTAGATATCACTACAATGAGCAAGCATTTGTCCATAATACTTATTTCATTAGAGTGTATTACAATGAGTCAAGTTCACCCGCAATACCGGGAATATATCGAGAAAAGCTTGAAGATCACAATAAAGGTTTCGTAAGACAACATCCCAAAGAGAAAGCTTTTGATCACTAAAAGGTTTCATAAACAACACTATAACGAGAGGAAACTGAGAACCGCATCACCGGTTTTGTAAGATAACACTACAAACGGAAAACCTTGAAAACTGCAGTATCGGATGCGTAAGACAAAAGAAGCTATGTATTGAATTACGGGATTCGTAAGACTACAACGAGAGAAGTTTAAAACTGCAATACTGATTTCGTAGTGTAACATTACATCGAGAGAAGCTTGACCACAAAACGTTTTCTAATTCATTATACCTGTGACAGTATACCTATAAACACTGAAACAATTACTGTGGCAGTAGACCTATAAACACTGAAACAATTACTGTGGCAGTAGACATATAAACAATGAAGCAATTGCTGTGACAGTATACCTATAAACACTGAAACAATTGCTGTGACAGTATACCTATAAACACTGAATCAATTGCTGTGGCAGTAGACCTATAAACAATGAAGCAATTACTGTGGCAGTAGACATATAAACAATGAAGCAACTTTGATTCAGTGTTTATAGCTATACCGCCATAGCAATTGTTTCAGTTTTTATACGTCTACTGCCATAGCAATTGCTTCATTGTTTATACGTCTACTGCCACAGTAATTATTTCAGTTTTTATAGGTATACTGCCATAGCAATTGTTTCAGTGTTTATAGGTCTACTGCCACAGTAATTATTTCAGTGTTTATAGGTCTACTACCACAGTAATTGTTTCAGTGTTTATAGGTATACTGTCACAGCTTTCAGTGTTTATAGGTATACTGCCATAGCAATAATTACTATGGCAGTATACCTATAAACACTGAAATAATTACTATGGCAGTATACCTATAAACACTGAAATAATTACTATGGCAGTATACCTATAAACACTGAAGCAATTGCTATGGCAGTATACCTATAAACACTGAAACAATTGCTATGGCAGTATACCTATAAACACTGAAACAATTGCTATGGCAGTATACCTATAAAAACTGAAACAATTGATATGGCAGTCATCTTCGAAAGATTTTAAGAGGAAAAGCTTAGTTTTTACAAACGATGAGCACATTTTCCATTTACTGTTGAAGCTTTTGTAAGATAATGATACCAAATTCCTTATTTTTTATACTTTTAAGTTCTTATGAGCAATCAGTAACGAGGTGTATTGTGTTTTTTAAATTTGTAGCTCTTCGAGATCGATCCCTCTCTAAAAAAAAAGACTGTTTTTAAAGACGTAAATCGGTGACGCAGATGTTTCTAGTATCCTTTACTAAACAGGTATTTTCTTCCGTAATACTGGTGGTAATACATTACTGGAATCCGACTTTATTGAAAGTTTTTATTCTTAATCGGCTCTTCCATTTCTTGTTTTGTTTATTTTGTTTTTGCATCGCAGTTGTTATTGTAAGTCATGATTTACTATAAGAAAAATAAATGCTTTAATTTACTCAGTTATTTTTTGTGCTTTATAAGTAAAATGTATTCATCCAAAGCACAATGTGAAACTTTTATAGTTGACCTTGTTGTGGATAAAGTTTAAATATCTGCACCTTTGTACTAACTATGTATAAGAAAGTATATATGTTACGTTTCGCTTTGTCTTCTTATGGATAAAGTTTAATATGCATTCAAAGCTTAAACGTTTCAAACATGACGTTCAAATATCTGCATCTCTGTACTATCTATATGTATATCTAAATTCGCTATGTTTGTCCGTCTTGTTGATTTTTTTCTAGATAATATATTTTTACGACGGTGCAAAACACGCAGATTGAAAAAGCTTGTAAATAATATTAAGTACAAAACAAAAATAAACAATGAAACCCTTAGCGCCACCTGTAGGGAAAAAATGTTTTATCGTTTTTTTTAGATATTTTTAGCTATGTACAACCGACAAAGTACCGCACTAACCCTCCCGAGGGTGCTGTGAGGATTATAAGCGACTCTCTTTTATATATATATTTCTAATGACCAATGCAGTCTGTGATTTAAGTTTGCGTGGGAAAATTTTTAATTAACAGTTTTTTTTTTATTTTTATACATCAATCAGAGGTACTTTTCTGTTTGGGTAAAGATCGGTAATGTTAACTGAAAGAAAAAAAAAATAATCACGTGGAGCAATCGTTGTACTCTTACTGGACCACCAGAGTTGTGTCAGTTTTTGTCAGGAGGGTGAGAACTTCCTGGTGGTTTTCATTTCACCGATATTCGAAGTTCAGTGTGTGTGTGTATATAGATTATTCTCCAAGGATGCGTCGGTCTTTTACACAGACATGAATCCATCAATGTCACAAACATGTAGAATTACATAAAAGATAACATTTTCTCTATCTGGCTATATTCACAACGATTATCCCAGAACTAGTCCTTTAGCAATCACCCAATCAGAAGCTCAAAATTACATGTATTATCTAAAGAGTTGAGTAGAAAATTTCCTATCAGCTGTATGCCGGGTGTGATCTAGTGGTTAGTGTGCCCGTACTGTGAATTAGTGGCTCATACTCCGCGTCCCCTTGTCGCGAAAACACTTTTTACACTTTAGGGCCGTGGGTGCGTTAGAAGAGTGATGGCAACATCTCATTATTTGGTTAAAAAAGACGAACTCAAAAGTTGGAGATCGGTGCTGTAAGTAGTTGCCTTTTTCTAGTCTATTATTTCAAAATTTTCGACGGCTATACTAAGTTATGTGTAGCTTTGCGCGAAATTCTGAACAAACAAAGTATATCAGCTGTAATTACTACATTTTTATACACAGTGATGGCTTTCAGTAGGCACGATCACCGATAATACGTACCTACTATCTATGGTAGGTACAAGTCTTGCACTGGACCTATTATCTCTGGTAGGCCTAAATATTGCATTGGTACCTGCTATCTATGGTAGATCTAAGTCTTGTATTGGTACCTATTATCTCTGGATCTATTATCGCTTTGAGTCACGATCCCTTTGAATTAGCCTTGATCATCAAAATGACGATTTGAGTCACGCTTACTTAGAATTAGTCGTGATGGTCTTCATTATGCATGGGGTCACGCTTACTTATAATTAGTCGTGATGATCTTCATGACCCATTGAGTCACGCTTAGCTTATGAATTATTCATGATGATCTTCCTGGCCCATTGAGTCACACTTACTTAGAATTAGTCGTGATGGTTTTCCTGGCCCATTGAGTCACGCTTACTTTGAAATAGCCGTGATAATATGTGTGACGCGTAGAAGAGTGTAAGTTGGAAAATGTTTATTGACCATTTTTGGAAGATAATTATATACTAAATAGTGTTCTTTTTTGTCTGTTTGTTAGTTTCCTTTTAAATATTTTAGTATATTAAGATGGCGTAAAGTGTATCTTTTTCGTTCGTGTCAGTTTTTGTTGTGTTGTGTCATCCCTTTGGCCCGATTAACAACTCTCGTGTTATTTCTTTTTTCTTTTTAAATAATAAAATGAAACTAATTAATATATGCTGTGAAATATCCGATGACTCCTTTTTATAATATACATAACGCATTATTTAATTATATGTTAAGTTAACTAAAAAACGAACATACAGAGGTTTGAATTTCTTACCTGTTCTCTTACGTTCGTGCTTCATTCTGTTCCGGACCTGATTGAGAGCTATCATGTGTTCTTCAATACGGTTATCGCCAAAGAAGGGTATTATGCTTGGATTAAATTCCTCATCTAGATCGTGATAAACAAAGGGATGAGGCTGAACTGCCGTGCAAAAGCAGGCTATCCACAGCACGAGATAGCAAGCAGTCAGAGACCTGTAGAATCGCATGATCTGTGTGAAAAGGAAATATATTTATAAACTTTCGCATTTCTATCTTTGTAGTTTTAGTCTATTGAATAAGACTAATAATTGTGCCCATTAGTCTGAAGGTATAGTTCTGTAGGTTTAGTCATAGGAACTGGACTATTAAGAGTATTTATAAAAAATAATCCCACGTTTAGTGATAATAACTTATAAAGTAATAAGGTAAATGTTCATAACTTCATGAGTTATTATATATGAAACTCCATATCTAAGTTTATTATAATTTAAGTATTAAGGTGAGTGTTCAAAATTCCATGGGTGGTTACAAAGGAAACCTCCATATTTAAAGCAATAATAACTTAAGTATTAAGGCAAGTGTTCTAAAGGCCACTGGTGATTATAAAGGACAGCTCGTATTTAAATGATTGTGTCTTAAAAAACATTTGTCAGAGGAACTAAGGGAACAAGATTTCTCCAGAGGCACATTAAGAATCACAAGTTTTGTTCAGAATTTTTGAATGTTTTTGTAGTTCTGGAAAAGTTACACTACAACTAAAAAAAAAGATAATTGACTAAAACACTTCTTTTTGCGATTTTTGTTTTGTCTGAACTTGCTGTTGTGTATTTCATTGGATTCGATTTTCGAATTATTTTGTAGTTTCGTGACAGTTGTCAGCTTTTTCGCGCGCTCTCCTTTTTGCGAGCTACTCTTTGCTACGCTCTCGTTTTTGCGAGCTACTCTTTGCTAAGCGTACGTTTTCGCGCGATTTTCTTTAAAAAAATGGTAAACAGTAATGCAGCTGCGAAAACTTTGCATACCTTAGTACAGTTTTCTGTGTATCTTGTTTGGTAAATTTCTTACTAACATCGTATTTAAAATACATTTTTAATATTGTATTTTGTATAATTTCTGAAAGCGTAATAATATTTTTTACCAAAAAATAAATTGCTTTAATTTTATATTAGAAAACGTTTCTTTTTTAGTTTCAAGTCCTATCTTCCAGTATTTACGACTAGTCTTTTTTCACAGTATGTGATTAATAATACATGGAAACAACGAGATTTAAACACGAAAAATTTCAATAGGGCTCAGGATGACAAATCCTAACGATTTTATCTTTTTGTTTGTCAAGATCTGCTTGGTTATTACAAATACATAAAATAAAAAAGCTGTTGAAACTTCTGCTGAATTCATAGTGAAAACTATGAGTCTATACTGAGTATTGGGTCAAAACCTCCATCTAACCAAGCTTTGTTGATTTGTTTCACCCACTCAGTTTATACTGAATGTTGGGTCAAAGCGTCCATTTAACCAGATTTTGTTGATTTGTTTCACCTACTCAGCTTTTAATGAGTGTTTGGTCAAAGACTTCACCTAACCAGACTTTGTTGAATTGTTTCATCCACTCAATTTATACTGAGTTTTGGTTCAAAGCTTCCATCTAACCAGCTTTGTTGATTTGTTTTACCCACTCAGTCTATACATTGTGTTAGATTAAAACTTCACTCAGACTATATTGAGTGTTGGGACACTGCTTCTATCTAATCAAGTTTTGTTGATTTGTGTTGTTCAATAAGTACACAGAGGTCTTGCGCGTGACGTCACAAAACAGACGTAAATGCAAGACCACTGTACTGAGTGCTGGATCAAAGCTTCATTTGGGTCATGTGTAGAAGCAAATTTCTGCAAGACATTTTTATAACAGTATTTTTTTTTCTGAATTAGTATTGTGTTATAGCCCATACTCTTTTTTTATGTGGTTTATGAAAACAATAAGATTCACATGATAATTTGAAAAGACGGCTCTAAACAATCATACTATAAAGGTTATTATAAGGATCGTGGTACGCTACAATTAATGGAGCCTTTTTCTCCATATATCTTATCTAGTTTATGTTTTTACATCCATTCAAATATGTATTTTCATTAAAATTTTACCAAGAATGTCAAAATTTGTTTTCTTAGAAAAAGAAAAACAACAATAAAAAACAAACACGTTTTTATTTTTAAATTCTGCTTGTATTTCCACATACTTCAAATGGCGCGTTTTGCTTTATTAACCTATCAAAACACGCTGATAAATAAACTGAAATTGTTATACAAAGTTGCATGTAGCTTACAGCAGCATCTGGTGAGTACACGATATTCGTCCTAAAATTAAAGATTCTACAAATGGCAATTTAGTGTATCGCTTTTACCCACAATACATTTCAAACGAATATATTTTTCTCTACTTTCATTTGTTCGTACAGTAGTTTGTTAAAGTTAAGCCCAAAGCAACACAATGGGCTCGCTGTGCTCTGCCCACCACGAGTATCGAAACCCGATTTCTAGCGCTGTAAGTCCGTAGATATACCGCCGTGCCACTGAGGGGGGGGGGGCTGTTCGTACAGTACCCCGCTAGGACAGCGGTAAGTTTATGGTTCGATTCCCCGCGGTGAACACAGCAGATAGCCCAGTGTGGCGATGCTCTGAAGACAAAACAAAAACTTTTTCGTACAATAGTTTTCAACTTGTTACAATTTCCCATAATGGCAAAGCAGCTGCTTGACATACCCCTGTGTGGTGACATCATAAGGCTAATTTCATGAATAATTACAGTCTTGTCTTATCTATATAGCCAATTCTTCGACGTTTATTTGGATGGAGGACACTAAAAATCAGCTTTGATATCTTTGTCTTGGTAGCTAGGTAAGCTATGATAGTCAACAGTACAAATTATGATTGTCTATTTTTTACAAAGCTATCAGACTTCTATTTGATATTTACTTGTTAAATTTATAAAGCAGAAACTTTTGAATCAAAATGAAGTGCATTCCAGATCTTTCAAATGTAGGAACCCATCACCTAAAATGGGGCTAAGCGTGGCCCAGTGGTTAGCATGCCAGACAGTGAAGCTGAGATTCCGCGGTTCGCGTGCCTTTACAGCACAAAACATTGTACTCCACACTTTGGTACTGTGGTTGAATTATGGGAGTGACAGTCAAACCCTGCTATTCTCTCTGATAAGACGAACCAAAGAGCTGGCGGTGGGTGGTGTTGACTAGCTTTAGATTATCACTTTAAAACTAGGGACCGCTAACAACCGTGTCTTTATGTGAAATCTAACAAACAAACAAGCCTTATCATCAAATGTCAGTTTGATTACTATTATTGTTGGTTGAACTACGAATTTTCGCTTCGTGTCTCAAATGAAATTAATCTAAATAATTCTGCAACGTGTTCTCCCATTCTACTGGTCAATAATTTGTAACGTCAGAAATCCCAATGAATTAGTGCTTTGTTTGAGATTCCTTATTCTGTAGAAGTTTATTTATCTGATGGGCACTTACACTCTTCTGCAAGCACCTGTTACATATTGTAATTCTCCCGAAAGTAAACAATATAATAATTAGATTTAATTAGAAGCGACAACCCGCGATACTCGAAAATGGAAATTGGATTGGCATATCGATTGATATTAGATGTATTGCGATAAGATTGTTTGTTAATCAACATGTAGAGCATGTAATTAATTTGTATATAGCATCAAAACTTACGCTACTTGTCCTAGCTAATGGATTATTAGAAATATACAGAGAGCCACTAAAACTATTTCTGAACTTTAGAAATGCTTGTGTCACAAATTATTTCCCAACTTGGATAAACAAGTTGTCTTCTTCCTCGTCAAGTTTTACTTTTAGCTACATTGTTTTCAACATATACAAAATTTCTAACTGTTTTAAAGGCCGCTTATATACGTAAAAAGGGACAGTTAAATAGTTATAGATTGTTAGTTAGTTTTTAGTAAGCTTGCTTTATTACACAAGTTTAACACAAATCATTTAATATACATAGTTTAATTTGGGCGATTGAATTAGATATGGAATTTCCAACCTGAACGGCACCTTATATATATATAATACACGCACGTGATTATTACGATTTAGTGCTTTGTGCGAGATTCCACATTCTGTAGAACTTCATTTATCTGGTAAGGACGCTTGACTCACAATCTGCGGAATGCGGGTTCGAATCCCCGTCCCACCAAACATGCTCGCCCTCTCAACCGTGAGGGCGTTATAATGTGGCTGTCATTCCCACTATTCGTTGGTAAAACAGTAGCCCAAGAGTTGGCGGTGAGTGGTGATGACTAGCTGCCTTCCCTTTAGCCTTTCACTACTAAATTAGGAACGGCTAGCGTAGATAGCCCTTGTGTAGCCTTGCGCGAACTTCCAAAGAAATCAAACTATTTGTCTGGTGGAAGGTACACTTTTCTAGGTTTGAGGTATATCGGTCCCTAATTTTGAGCTACTGTCTAAAGGGAAAGCAGATAGCCAGCAACATCCGCCTCTACAAAGCCATTATCTGACTTTTTTTTATAAATTAATAAGGAGTTGAATTTCAATTTTAAAACATGCGAGTATCCCTATAGAGAACTGTATCGAAGACCATATTCACAGTAAGCTATCCACAGCCGTAACTCTATACCTCGTATTTGGAATCATTTTCCACCTATATTATATTCCCTGTAAAGGACTGGAGCAAAGAACACCGACATTCGCAGTATGCTCTCCATAGCCATAGTATTTATATCTAGTATTTGGGCTCATTTTCTACCTATATCATGTTTACGAAATATATACAGTGACTGTTTCGGTTACCATGACCTTTGACTTATGTTTAGCTGTCTATCTGATGAAGTGAAAGATTCCCTGACTAACTATACAGGGTATTTTGGGTCAGACACACGTACTAGCAATATACTGAGCCAACGACAATAGTTATTCCAACTATCCTTATAACGTCATCTAATATTTTCCACTGTCGTTCGATGCGTTGCAACCTTCAATTTCTACATTTTATAGATAAATGTTATTTGATTTTGTGGATTCTAAAAACCATGACACGATAACACTATCATAATAAAACGAAGAATAAACGTGCGTGGCACATCTGAACCTGTTAAAATAAGCCATTCGGAAAGAAAGAAAGAAAATAAAAGATTACCGAAACAGCTTTATTCTGTCTAGAAAAATTGGTATTC